ACAACAATATCAATGTGTTAAAACTATTTTTATTTATTTATTCATGATTTCTTTCATTTTACGCATTTTGTCTTTTATTAATATGCATAAGAAACTTTTGGTTTGTGTGAAGCAATCATTTACAAAATTTGCAAGGTGAATTAATCATCTGCAATTTTTTTGTAAAGTTTAGCAAAACGCAATGTAACAAGTGTTAGTGCAACAGAAAATGCAAAAAAATCGGTTTTTTGTCAAATATTTCCCTTCACTTTTCATACTTTACTTTTCATGGAAAAGTGTATTGAAGCAACGGTTTGCATTTTCTGAGAGTTTTCAAAAGTTTGCATACTCAATTCTAAAATTAAAGCTTTATGTTCTCAATGAAAGAAAAATGCTCAAAAACTGATAATAGCTTACAAAATGCAAAGTGGAAAGTGTTGGTGCAATAGGGCCCAGCTGTAAACTTACCTTTGCGCTACATCACATTTCGATCTGATGCGTGTATAAGACAACGCATATGTTCAGAAAAATCACTTATTGATCGTCACTCAAAAGCATCAGGAGCACGCTGAAGCACTTAGAAATAAACTATTGAAGTCCTCACAAATGGACTGGTATATCAGTGGAGCTAAGTATAAAAGAAAAACAAACATTTTTTTGCATATATTACATTTTATTTTTCCCACTGCACCGTATATAAGCCTGAATACGTTTATTTCCTTCCACGTTTATATCATTGCTATTAAATCCATATATAAGCGTGAATACGTTTACATCAATCTGCTAAACCTTATATACGAACGAAAGAGGAACCAAGGAAAAGAATACGCTGGCTATTACCAATACTACATTATAAGTTACAACGTAATTTCAATATAAATATAAAGTGATTAAACATTGATAGATTTAAGTGCACACCTTAATAAATAAAGATTGAAAATAAAACACTGTCTCCAATTATTTATACATTTATTGTAACGATCCAGGACCAACGTGTCAATAGAAAATTTTCTTGTAAGTCTATTATTCTAGAATTAGAAGTCGAATTTTCTTGATAACACGACGAAGCATTTTTTATTCCTCAATGGCTTTAAGGCGTGCTTTCTTCTCTTCTTCGGTCAATTTTTTGTCCACTCCAACTAAGTGACCAGATAGATCTGAGTGATCTTTATTAATTGAAGCGCAATGTTAAACAAATTGTCCAAGTTTGTAACAAAGTCTAGTCGTCGCTACTCGAACAAGTCTTGTGTTTTGTTCGCATTTTATGCAAACCTGTCCAAACTTCTAGCTTCTCAACACAGTTAGGTAAAGCTTAAGTTGGTATACGTGCCTTTCCCCAATTAATAATGGACTCGCGAACAGTAAGACTCATGCTTTCATTGACGCTAAAATTAACTTCACGAATGTTGTAGAATAGAACTGCCAATACTTGTCCATTAGAGGGAAATTTTAAATCAGTAATTTGATTTTGTACATCCCCAATAAAAAATATTCATTTTTTTGAACTGTGTAATCCTGTGACATATTGACTGAATGAAAATATTCAATTTACTACTAAAACAAACATGTAATAACCAGCATTTCGATAAGTTAGCTGCGATACGCCAAAGTATGCAAGTTTTAACATCTAACGATGCAAACGACACGGGTTATTTTATTTCTAAATACTTGAAAATTTATTTAGAATTGTTTTGCCACCATTCAAACATAATTACAGGGTATGCGTTAAAAAAAAATAATTTGATTTGTTTTTAATAATAATTGTTCTATTTTTAAAAATTGTAATTAGTTAATTTTAGTTTCAGTTTTAATTATTATTTTATTTTATATAAAGCAAATTTTGCGTACGAAAATCACAAATAGAATATCAGCTGTTAATTGAAAGATCTGATTAACAGCAGGTCTTTGATTTGGTCTTGTGATAGCCCGAAAACAGTTTTCAGTCTTGCAAAAGACCGCTGCTAGTATACGAAAGATATTTCAAACGATCTTTCGCAAGATTTTGGAGTGTGATGAGCTGAAAGATTCTTGCCAGACTTGCCTGTAAATTATTTAATAGTTTCTTAAGTAAGCATCATTCAAAGTAAAGATTGATGAATTCAAATCAGTGGCAACTTCTATTTCAGCTAATTCTCCTCTCAGATCTTATTTATTACCAATATTAGGTCTGTTCTAAGAGCTACTCATAGTAAAACTCAACTATAACACATGTAAATTACAAACTGAGAGCGTAACACAAATAAAGTGCCAAATTACGCTCTTTTCACAGATTTTCATAGAACAGTTTGTGTTAAGTCTAGTGAGAACACCAGTGTCGCACAAATAAACCATACAAAAATTTAAATTCAAACCAAAGCAGCTGATTCACACAACACAAATTTTACTTTTATTTTTAAATTTTGACAGGGATATTACGCTCTCTAAGATTCTCTCATTTACCTGGAAATTTGATGGTGCAACGCACTTGTTATACACAGTGTTACCCAACGTCACTAGCTCGTGGAAGAGACATATTATGCAATTCATGTGTGTACGTCAGATTTCTCGCAGGTGGTAAACTCCATATCCGCATAAATGATATTATCGAATTATCATTAACAATCAGTAGCGAGGCGTTAGCTTTTTGGCAAGGTGTTCCCAATTTGATCAAAACAAAATTCCAACTATAACGTATTCCCCCTACTCCTGAGTTTTGTCCTTTCCACAAGCAAATAGCGTACAAGACCAACAAAACAATTTAATTATATGTTCGCAGCCTGTGATCCACTGGTTTTTATGGTAAATAGCTGTAGGAAAACAGCGACTTACCACAGATTTCGACATTTTTACATCAAGTACTAAATTCTTCATATCATAAATTGATCTATTCATTTTATGAATTAAAAACTTTTTTTCAGAAGATCGTTTAAAAAAAGATATTTGAATCAAATCTTAAATCACACATTTATCCATTTCTAAATATTATTTTTCACTTCAAATTTTTTTAATTTTTTTCTTTACTTTTATCATTTCTAGTATAAAATTGCAATAATGACTTTGTTTTTGGTTTCTTTCCAACCTCTACATAAGAGTAAAAAACTCTCATGCATTCATTTACTCTTTTACTTTGTATTTAATATGCGCGGTTCAGTTTTTTTACTGAACCATTTGCCCATATAAAACGGCAACCGTGAATTTGATTGCATTTGCACGCTTTGTATGAACTTGCGTTTCAGTTTAGTCGACTGAACCTCTAGTCAAATGTAAAGCATTTTTCGCTCAGTCATTTCTTTTCTCTTTTGTATTTACTTTACATAACATTGGAGTTTCACTTTTTTTATTGAACCGCTTGCACGCATTAATTTAAGAGTTATGATTATTTTGCGTACATATTTTGCGGGGCTTGTTTTCTCTTTTATTTTTTTATTTGTTTGTATGTTTTGTGTTTATTCAATATTGAACATATTCCCAATGTGAATGTTATTTGATTTGCATGCTGTGTAACCTTAAAACTGCGGTGCAGTTTTTATTCTGAACCTTAGTATATTTTAAGAGGAATGTGTTTTTTCTTTTATTAATTATAAGTAATGCTGGGTGTAACTAACATATGTATGTGTGATTTTGTTTGTACTGTACGTTTTGTGTTTATGTTAATCTGTTTGGAAAAGCTATTATAAAAAATGTTAAGTAGCAAAATAGCGAGATTATTTACGTAATAAAAAAAGGTCTAAAAAGGAAGCTTTGTTAAGGTTTTCAGTGAACACTCTGAACAATTCGACGTCACGCCTCTGTTAACAATATATAGGTATACATATTATATACATATGTATTACATATAGGTATGTGTATACATAATCAACAATTTACAAAACGGTCACTTATTGTGAAATAATAATCAACGTAATGATTTCTCTTTTAAAATAATTTTACGTTTAATAATATTTGAGTAGTTCCAGACTTAAAATTAACATTTGCTGAGCATATTTTTTATATTTCTCATCAGATATACATATATCGAAAAAAACATTTTGCACAGATTTTGTAAAATAAAATCGTAATAATTATGTAGTCATTGGGAGATATTTGCAAAATTATATGAAATAAAATTTTAACTGCACTTCTCCGCTGTAGGAATATTTTACTAGTTGGCGAGGAAGTGGTTTCGGTTAAAACAGGAAAATTTACAGACAACTTTAATTTTAAATTCCAAATAAATTTGCTAAACCAAAAAAGTTAAAATTCTTAATATGATTTGCCGTATATTCCATTTGATATTTTGCATTATTTCTACATTTCAGTTCATTTAAAGTCAAATAAAAAAATTTTTGTGCAAATCAGCGGTTAACTTAGTTCAATTCTTGCCTTTCCAAATATGAATCGCAGCTAAACTTTATTAAAATAAATTGAACAAAATTGTTGATAAAATTTTGCTTTGAGAGCTTTGAATTTCATTTTAGTACTTGGAAAGTATATTGATAATACGGTAATTTGCAGGTCTATTTATAAATAAAAACCATCATCAAATATACACACACATGCCTTGCATACTCGTATATCAGTGAAAATGATGACAGTTCACTATTTTAATTAAATAATTAATACGAGTTAATAATACAAATGATTAAATTGAAAAAAAATGGTTTCTTAAACCCTTGAGACATAAAGAGATACACATGCATTAAATATGAACTAAACCAATTTTTTTTTACATTAAATAAAACTTAAATTTTCCAAAAGAAACTCGATATCACACTACTTCATACTCCTCGTTTGAAATGAATCCCAGCGAAATAATTAAATAGTTTGTACTTAAACTCTTCATTTCATTAAGTTGATTCTTACAACTTTGTTTTTAAATAGTTGTGGTTTTTTTATCATTTCTTCTTGCTTTTTATAAGCGAAACATTTGAAAAGGATAACAAGAAGAAGTATTGCACAGAACCTGTGTAATGCCATCCTGACAAAAGGACGAAACTAATTAAACTTCCTTCTTACGTTGTCAACACGAATTTTATTTATTCAATAAAAAAGAAAAAATGGAAAATGCTAAGAAAAAATTTAATTAAAAACCAATTGTTAAAATTAGTTTCAGTTATTTGAATATACATATATCAACATCTATTTGCAACCCATTTTTATTAATGCGTCTGCTGCTGCTAGTCCCATTTGATGTTCACTAGATCCAGGGGGTTCCATTTCCAAAATTTCGTGGCTTTGGCGTAAGAGATTAGTCACTTCTTGAATGTTTCGGTGAAACTCAGTTTTGCTTATCAAACCATTTTGCATCAAGTGTCGGGATAACAGCATAATCGGAGCGTGCAATTCATACATTATAAGCCCTTAAAATGCTTTCTTACTACAGAGCCCTTGTAAGTATATTAAAATGTTTTTACCTCTTAAACGGGTAAGTCCTGGCTCTAAGATATCGATCACTGCTAAAAATTCACGACAATACTTCTCCTTGCGCTTTATGTCTTCAAACGACATATTGTTCAGTAAATAACCTTCGATGCGACCATAAATTTGGCATAGTGAATATTTTGCAGAAAGTAACAAATAATGATTGAAACGGAGTATCTCACTGTACCTAAACCGGAATAATACTATAATGTACCGTAATAATACTGTAATAAAAGATTAAAATTTAAGGGTTGCGGCATACCTTTTCAGGAAGTTTTCTAACCCAGAAACATCGTGCACATCAATAGATTCCAAGTCATCATTAATTTTATCTAACAGATTTACTAAGTCTTTGCTAATCAAAGTATTATCACAATTATCACATCTTAAGTAATATAAGAAATATATTAAATTATTAAATTTTTTTAACCAAGATACCCTTACATCCAGTCTGCATCTTGATTTAAAGGATCAGATGACCTTAGTGAACCCTTCTTGCATTTAGCACATATAATAGCACTACAATCTGTTCCCAACTCCATCGGATCGCTACAACGCTGGCAGAAACACCAAAAAAGCTTTCCAGCATGCATGAAGTCTCTCCGTTTCAAAGTTCCCTTATGATGTTTAAAATAAAACCAAATTCTATATAGATAGGTAATTTGAGCTGACCTGTAGTGTATATGCATAACTCAATGTAAGTGCTTCATCCTTTTGTACATGTCGCGAAGTGCGCAAAACGATTGCAAATGTGTTTGGATCATCTGTATGTGAAGTATTTGGACTGCAGTCGTGTGCAAGCAAAAATGCATTAGGGTAAAGAGTTCGGGCTTTGGCCGAATTTTGTCCAATTTCAAAACAATTCACATCTAAAATACCACAAACAGTGTGAATCTCATCCGCAGTATATGAGGCCATATGCCATTCATCGAGCAACTTAGTCACCACATTTTGTTGGTAATGTTGCCACAAGTCCGCATTCTGTTTACGCAGTTCCGAATGTGATTCCATGAGCATAATTTTTGCGTATTTCTCAGGAGAGTGCTGTTTCATCAGTAATATGCGCACAATCAAAATGAGTTCATACAAATTTTTGACTATTGTGGCGGATGTAGTAGCTGAGAGAGACGTAGTATTTTTCTGCGCTTTTAATAAATCACATTCTTCGATGGTGTGACCAGTTGCCGCGTATAATCCTTTACATTTTACACTGCATAATGGCCAGCAGCAAGAAGTGCACCTGAGTAAGCATTAATTATTATTGCAACAATTTTTCATAATAGATTCCCAACTGATTTACCTATATTGTACACCATTTAGCTTGACTGGCTTGTAGCAGCCTAAACACACTGCATCAGAAGACACACAAGGCCCGATGGCCAAAGGTTCTTCGATTATTAATAATTCTCCTGCCTTAAGTTCTCGACTTGCTACAAGATAACGTCCAACAATGTTTGAGTGTTCCAATTTATACGGTAATTGTATGTTTGTCGTTTCATAGTCCTCACTCTCCTTTCTAATATTTGAGGTTTCTTTTTTTGAACTGTTTGATTTGTTTACCTGCTGTTGTTGTCGTTGGTGATGACTCTTCTTGTTTTTCTAAGCAAAATTAACAAATATATATTAAAATTTTATTTCAAGCTCCTGCAAATAAATAGCACATAATCAATTCCTGATCAATACAGCGCTTTATACGTATTCTATATAAAAATAGTACAGTTAATACAGACCATCTCATAGTCAGGGTCAATACCATTACAAATCGTGAAAACACATATATGCATGTATGAAAATACATGATTTAATAAAACTTTTCAATTAGTTCGTAGGAATACATTTTATTGTAGTTGTATGAGACCCCAGTTGTTCGAATCGTTAGTTGCAATTAACTAAAGACTAAGCTAGTGGTAGAAATACAATAAGTTGCATATAAAAGTTTTGATTTATAAAACAACATTTCATAAATAATATTCAAATTTACCGTGCAGGCAGATACTTCTTGAACTAAATAGATGTGTTAATCATTTATTAGGCACACTTCACATATGTACCGAAATTGAACAAAGGGAGGGAGAGAGAGAGGAAGAAAGACACAACAGGCTAATTATAGTACGCAACAAGTGGCATAGAGACGCTCGTAAAACGCAAGAATATTTCCGGGGGCGCGCAATGATATATTAAGATAAGTTTCTCAGAGGAGAACGTTTTGTAATGTTCGAAACGTTTATAGTAAATACCTGAAAAACGGAAAAATATTCTGTTGCTTTTTTCAAAATAAATTATAATAAGAAACATTGAGATGTTAGATTTTATATTTTTTTTAGCTTCTTCAGATTGAGGCATGTATCTAAATGTTTACATGTCACAATCAGAAGAATGTCTTCACAAAAATTTTTTGAATATTTGAATATAATTTACGTATTCATTAATTTGTTTAGTATGAAGAATTCATGATTTTTATTACTCAAAAGTTTTCATAGCCAAAGATATTTAAATAAATATCTACTTGAATCCGCTAATAATGTTTTCAGAATTTATATAGAAATCTGACAATAAACACACAAATTTTTTTTGCCATACTATCGTGACATATTTCCTTATCATTTCAAAATGTTTCACAGTTTGCAAAGTCATATGATGAAGAAACAATTTTACCGATTTTAAGAACAAAACGTGGTTTTAATAAATAAAATATATTTACATGTTTTCTGGGAGGCATTTTTGAAACTTTTAGAAATGTTCTCTGCACCACAAAATCAGTGTGATCTGTGCCACGAACCGACTGCAACTACTCGCGTACGATCTATGCCAGATGAGAAAACATTTTTCAATCTTTTAGAATCTAGTCCAATACTTGTGTGTATTTTTATTTATAAAAAATAAGCTGCTTTCTTTACTGACGATCAATTTCATTAGTGTGGGATCATATATTTGGGATATGCTCCGCTATCCAAATAATTCTTTCGAAAATTTGAGTGTGAATAGTAAAGATTAAATATCATAGTGCATATTATTGCACATATTGGAATTATGTGTGGGGGACTATTTTTTATTTGGCAGCCAAGAGTGTCACTGGTCGCGCTATTCTGTTGAGAATTATTCAATTCATCCCCAAAAAAATCAAATACGTGGTCGCTACCACTCCATGCGCCTCTGGAGAAAACTACCAGAAACTTTTAAGAAAGTATGCTACTAAAATAACAAATTCTAAATATTAATTGAAAATCATAAGAGTGCACGGATTAGTGTCCGATCTCAAATATAATATTTGTTTCTTCAGCTGCAAGCAGTGCATTTTATTTGTGGAGTCATCCAAGAGAACTATTGTTATATATAGCTAAGTTTCACCAGTTCCAAATGGAAGTAACATTTGAGTGTTTAACATTCAATAACGTTTAATAACTTTGATTATTAATTTGAATGCATGGGTATTATTTTGTTTTATTATTATTTTCATTTAAGACCACTTTGTCTGTTAAAATATAATTTTCAGCTTCAATATATCTTTGAATTTCACGTAAAAAAAGTGGGCATTTTTCCTCACTATTTTCAATCAATTATCCTATTGTTTATGATATTAATTTAAAAAGAAAACAATAGAACAGACTATATAGTCCAAAAGCACCGAATGTATTATATATACAAATATATTGTATATGTACATCACTTCGATGAAAAAGGTCATATCGTGGTGAGACGTTGAGTTTGGGGAAGCATACGGTGAAATAGTCAAACAGAGTTGCATATTGTAACTTCACCAATTAACTTTAATCAATACGTTGACACATATATTCTAACGACTTCTTTGACACCGTCCATGAAAGAGAAGATGGCACAACTTGCACAATGATTTGTTTTCAACAACGAAATATTGACAAATTGCTGCAAGCAGCGCTGGACGGCAAAAAAATACCCCACAACAGTTAAAAACTACAAGAACATATTTTAGAAGAGTGGAGAAATGTTTTTATTGATATGCCTTTTAATTGCTATTCATCAATTCAAAGCGAAATTCGAAACCACATTTAAGTTAAAGGATATTATTTGTTGACGAATCAACAAAAAACTAACAAGTAGGTCATGAGTTAATCGCTCACACCTGTTGCTTAATTTTTTGGTTAACGAATCAACAAAATAGTATTACTTAGGTCATAAGTTAAGCGCACGCATAGGTTGCTTAGTTAGCAATCTGTGCAAATTAAATAATAAATTAGTTTAAGCAAATATTGTATATCTTGCAGTTATTATTGCAGTTTAATTTGTATAAAAGACCAATTTATTGTAAATAAAATCAGTTATTGAATTACAAACAATATCTCCGCTTTCGTATAATAGTTCCCCCCACCAGTGGTAAGGAACTTATAGTTTGTGAGTGAACATCGTTGTTCATTATTTAAAGGATGAAATGGTATTATATGAACTCACAATTGCTTTTTATTTTAAATATATTTCGATAATACAAATAATTGATATAAAGGAAAAAACTTAAGATATTTACCTTTAATTTCACATACTTTATTTGAAAAATATATTTTATTAATAAAAACATTTTCTTACTTTGGATTCTTCGCCTTGAAATTGGTCTAGGTGAAAATATTAAGGTGGTCTTAAATTTTTGTCCGCCACTGAATACGCCATGTATTCATTTTCTACTATAAATTTGACTGTAGCGAACATTATCAGTGGGCGATTGTTAATGTTGGCTGGTATAATATGTGCGCCCTTACAGTTATCGAAGCTCATTAGTACATTTTTATATAGACTTTGCTCGGGTTTTGTATATAGGTATGTATAATAAACAAAAAATGCTGATTATGGCGCATTTGTTCAGTTAACTGTCTAGTTTAGTTATTCACAGTTTCATTGTATGCAAGTAAATTGCACTTATGTTATCAAAACCTGGCTTTGACGGGATTATCCGAAATACCTTCTGAAATCCAGACTTTTATTCTTTCAAATATTTAAATCTATTAGTTTTAGTTATGTAATTTGTAAATACTCGTGCATCTCCAATTAACCAAATATCGACTTTAACAGATTTTTAAATTTTATAAGCAAGTTAAATCTGAAACTGAAATCAGGTTTAAGATGTAGCGTCATATATCTCCCAGTGAATAAACCAAAAATTAAAACTATATACCCGTATATTTGCTTCTATGGATAAACAACATAATTTTGTAAAAATCGCATAAAGGAAACGCATTTCCCTCTCCGCATCACTGCATCAATGCTTCACCGTATCAGGGGAACATTACAGTACCAACAGCCACAAATCCGTAAGAGCAAATGTAGAAGAAACATTGCACAAGACACAATAGCAGCAAAATAAATTGCGAACTGCAGTAATCTTCAAGTACTGTAAAGTATTTTATCTAGATACGAAATATGGGATGATATCCTTGAGGAGATATTTTGCAAACATTTCTCGGCAAGAGACTGAAGTGTTATTATGGGGGCGCTTATTAAAATAAAATTTATTGCTTGTTTGCTGATAAAATAGTGCTAAAAATGCAAGAATAAAAAATATGCACATAGAAGCTTCGAAACAATAGCAGGAAAAGCACGTTGCCAACGGCGAAGTAACTTCCTAAAAAGAGAACACATTTAAGAATAGAAAAATGTGTTCAACAATGTTGTGAAACTCATTTAAAATGTTTCAAAGATTCAAACGTACTACAGTAAAAGGGGAAACGGAAAAATTAGTATTGAGCTGAAAAATTATTAAAATTTGAGGCGCTTTCACAAAGGAACATCTCATAAAAGCCATGAATTCTACTATCTCACTGAACAAATAGAGAAGTCAGCAATATCCTAACACAATTTGGACCTTATTTAACTTTACACAATGAAGTTCTTTATTCGATTATATCATTTATTTATCCCGTGTAGAATAAAACAATACATATTTTATATGGTTTGTTTTATCCCCTTTTTTCACTGACTTAGTTACAGCGGGCAAGAGAGAATTTACTATTAGATGCAAACAGTAACGAAAAAAAACTAATTACTCTTTTAGTTCTAAGCAATTTATATTGCATAAATATTTCAACTTGGTTAGATTCTCTTATAATACATCGGCGTAATTGAGTGGAACTTTTATACTTTTTACATCTCTCTTATAAAAAGAAGTTTTATATCTCTAAGCTCAGTTCTACCAAAATAAACGAGATTTCGAAACCATATGTACTGTATAAGACTTGCGTCAATTGCATTACCACCATAATCTGAATCGGAGTCTACCGCAAGCTACCGCACGTCTACTTGCACAATAATGTAAGTTTTTATTCAAGTCCAATGAGAAGTATCTCAAAACGGGCTTACTGTCAACATTATACTCTGCATATGAATCCGTTATTCGATATGATAGCTCTGCCATATAATGAATTATGCTAGGCGACGCTGTTAATATCAAATATGTTAACATGTCAATAAAAAATTGATAGCTTTTGCGGTTGACTATTGTGCATTTATTATTCTAACTAATAATTGAATCATCATCTATAAGGTGGTTGCTGGTCGACAAGTTTTTCTGCGTCAATCGAGGTGTATATCTTTTATGTATTGTATGTGGTCTATTGTAATCGCACCACTATCTTTATCGCATTAAATCCTTATATCTATATTAAGCTGTAGAGAACTTTTAATATACTGTTAAAATTAGAAGTATTTACTTCATCACAGGTTATTGTAGTTTTCAAACTATCGACATAAATAAAATTGCCCAATACAACAGCTGATAGAGACAGCAAGAACAACTAATAAAGAAAACATAGCTAAGAAGACAATAAATGTTGTAAAAATAACCTTCAATTTTCGAACTTTCGAATATACAAACTTTGTTTCATTAAAATTAAAAATGTCATGTAATTGAATAATCTAGTTATATTATGTTATATTTAATTTTATTATGTACTAAATTAGATCTAGATATCTTGCAAAATCATATTAAATTGTAAAAACAGAAAGAAGGCTAACAAAAGCAAAGATGCTCGGGGAAGCAGATATAACTCGCCGTCAAGTACTAAATCGAAAGTATGAAGCTTTAAATAAAGTCATTACAAAGAGGGCCAAAGAAGATAAAAAGAATTTCTATGATGCGCTAGCCTCTGAAGCGGAAAAAGCTGCTAATAATACTGACATGAAAACACTGTTCGCTGTTACGAGAACTTTAAGCGGACAAAAAAATAATGCACGCAATATTCCAGTAGAAGACGAAAATGGTGTTCTTGTAAATTTAAAACAAGAACAATTATTAGTTTGGAAAAAATATTTTGAAAGCACGCTTAACTCAGTATTTGCTACAACCGAGGATAATCTCACTTCTCAACGGCGCCATAACATCAACAGACAAATTAATACCGAACCACCCACAGTAATGGAAATAAGTAGTGCCATTTCATCTTTGAAGAAAGATAATTCGCCTAGCAGTGACGGTTTGGCGGTAGAGTGCTTTCAACTCGATCCACAACTTATGGCTACAAAACTTCTATCTATTTTCAACAAATTATGGCTCACTGAGTCCATAACGCTATCATGGAAAGAATCAGTAATTGTTAAAATTCTCAAAAAAGGAGATCAAAAGATATGCTCAAATTGGAGGGCATCTTACTTTTTCCTACCATAACAAAAATATTAAACAAAATTATCCTTGACAGAATCGCGGAGCACCTTGACAAACTCATAAGGAAAAATCAATCAGGTTTTTTGCCCAGCGAGTTCGTGCGTGGATCTGATTAATAAAATGCGAATAATTACAGAACAATCCACCGAATTGAACACCACACTTTACCTAGTGTTTGTGAATT